GGGGGTGGCCCCCGCGGGCCCCCGCGGGGTGGGGGGGGCCCCGCGGGCCCCCGCCGAGTCGGGTGGGCCTCGCAGGGCCCCGCCGAGTCGGGTGGGCCTCGCAGGGCCCCGGGTCTGACTGAGGTTTTCTTTCCCACCCAGGAAGATCCTGCCTTGATCCGCTGGGCCTACGCCAGGACGCAGAACGTCTACCCTAATTTCCGCCCGACGCCTAAGACGTCCTTTCTAGGAGCGCTTTTTGCGATAGGCCCTATCCTCTTCTGGGTTGCCGTCTTCAAAACGGACAGGGTAGGGCAACTGAACGCCAGTGAACACCAAATTGTGAAATGTAGATCCGCCTGGAGGCTTCATTGGTGGGATCCTCTTGCACCTAACAATGATTAATACCGTTAAAGTAGCGAGGGAAGGAAGGCTGATACTGAGCCTGCTCTCTCAAAGCCTCATAACTGTTTGCAAAGCCCTGCTGTGCCGAGAGCCCTGTATTGTACCTTTGTGTATGGCCAGTCACAGTTTCCCCGATCAGGATATTTTGCTGTAATAAAGCTCTCTGTAGCACTGACGATGTAAATTAATCATAAAAGACTAGTATTTTCAGCTGTTGACATGTAGTAACTGTGCTTTTTAAAATAAATAAATAAATAGGGAGCGTATGGATGACCGACCTAGCAAGGTCTCTGTGAATTGCTTAACTACTTCTCGAATCTCATGAAGCAAATGGAGAGGAGTACTTACGCTGACTGCAGTGCCTGATCTCGGCTGGACTTTTAAGATTTTGGAAGGTTTATCTTGCTTCTGTTCTAACTCCTGAAATGCAGGCATCAGAATCTGAGCAATGGTAGATCATTCTGAAAATACTCAGCTATATGCATGCATAAGAAAATGCCTGAGAGACTGTGGCTGTTTTTACTAGTGAATTTGTGGCTATTGTAAAACACTTTCATTTCCCTCTTTTGTACAAAAGTAGCATTTTTAGATCAAGTCGTAAACCGGGAAGCACAAACATTAATTAAAACTAATAGAATATTTGTAGAGAATGGTGTTTACTAGCCTGAATCGAAAATACAGGTTTTGGAAAACATGCCGAGCATGTTGTTACAAATGTTTTTGAGACTTCAGCATCTCTGCAGTATTTTGTCGTGCTGGTTTTGTTTTGTACGTAAAGCCACACTTGGGCTTAGCCACCAAGTGTGACTTAGCATGTGAGTGCTCGAAAATAAACCTGCATGAGTGAAATCTAGACATACTTGCCACAGAATATTTAAGCTGAAGTCTTTAGTGTAGTCTCCAGGACAATTTGTTTTCCTTTATTCTAGTTCCCTTACTGATGCTTGGGGATTTTTCTTTGTTTTCTGGTAGCATATAAAGCACAATAACTGTTATACTCTTCTCTGAGGAGTGTTTGTTGCGTGTCTGGGAAAGCAAAATACAAATTGCCAAGTCTTAAGCTAAGTCTTCTGGTTTTATCCGGCAGAAGGAATCTGGGCAATGTTTGCAGTGGCTGTGTACTGTAACGGTGCCTGTCAGAAAGGTACATGACTGCAGAGTGAGATACAAATGGGCTGAAAGTGAATATAGGCGCATCTAGGCAAGTTATTAAGAAGTTTCTCCATAATTAGATCTCTAAACTGGATTATTTAGCCTGAAAGAGGAGGCAGAAACTAAATGTATAAATTAACTGTGACGCAGCTGGTTTGGTGAAAAATACATCACAGGAATTGGTCTCTGCTGGCCTGTGAGAGTGGATGGATGTGCAAAGAGGTCAATCTGAGCACGTCTTCTGTAGCTGGCAGGTGAAGCTAAATGCCTTGTTCTTTTTTTTACTTTTTAACCACAACAGTTGTTACTAGAGTTTGTGCTTATAGAATCATTTAAGTTGGAAAAGACCCTTAAGATCATATGTGGTGCTATCTTCCTATAGTCTGTGCTGAAATACTAGGACTGCTTTTCTCTCATCCCAGGCTGATTGAAACTTCTTCTCTAACAGGATAATGATGAATGTTCTCTTTCTTCCACAGGATCGTAAAGAGAAGCTTATCCAAGAAGGTAAATACAAGCGACCGTTCAGTGTATTTTAAGTTCCTGGAATTGCAGTGCTGTTCACAGGATATGAGTAAAATAAGATGTATTGTGTGCTGACATTTCTCCTTCACAAGAATAAATCTTAATTGCTCGTCAGTTGTCTTGCATCTTTAACAATTATGGAAACTGCAAAAATGCAGGATCTTTGTATCTAACGCAGATTGATACAGAGAGGGTGTCCTGAACTCAACCAGTGTACTCCTGTGGTCCACAGGCAGAGGCTCCTTTTAAACTGGAAGTTGCTGCTGTCAGAGCAGCACAGGCTGAAGTTTAAAATCAGTAGCAGGCTAAAATGTTAAGCAAGCCCAATGTGGTTTCCTAAGGAACTACTGCTTGCCTACTAGGTATTTCTTCCTGGCGTCGGTTTGACTGTGTAGTTTGCCCTAATCGGATAATAGGCAAGTTCTGCGATACATTTTTAGTAACTTCAGGAGCCTGCCTGACTGCTCGCAGTAAGTTGAGTTAATTTTTCTTTTCCTTAATAAAGTACAAGCCTAAACCGTGCATTTGTTTATTGCAAAAAACTTCTGGATAAAATTACCCTACCAGACTTGGAAATAGTGGGCTGAACACTGTCATGCTGTATGTGACTAGCATTTCCACTAATTCTGTGATTCCTGTGAGTGAGAGACAAGAAGTAAAAAGATAAGGATTTTTATTTTTGACACTGATTCCCTTACAGTATAGGAGAATTCCATCTCACCCCTGCAAATGGGCCATGATTAAAAAAAAAACCTCACGAAGCATAACTGAATCTTGTGCCTGCAAAGATGTCTGCTCCGCTTATTATAAGAACCTAAGTCTTTTCTGCCCAGGTCAGCTGGTATAGGGGGCTCTGGAATTGTTACTGCCAAAGTACTGAAATGTGAGTGCAAGGAAAAGATTTTTAATTCAGACTTGAATTTCCACATGGTCTGTAGGTGCCATCATGGTCCAAACAACCCTCGTTCTTGAGACGTTCTACGTGAGCGATTTCTTCCCAAATGTTGAGGTCAATGCCAAAACCTCCGTCTGATGTAAAAGTTGAGAACGTCCCTCTGCCTGCTGGGAAACTTCGCTGTGTTCTTGACAGTGAAGTCAGCAACAGCAGCTCTGCTAAATCCCTTTCCTGCATGATTAGGATGTAAGTATGGGCCATTTCTAGTCTCTCTTCATCATAGTGAGTTGATGAGATTTTTCACAGAATCGGAGAGTGGCTGAGGTTGGAAAGGAGCTCTGGAGGTCATCTGGTCACCTCGAGCAGGCTGCCCAGGACTGTGTCTGCGTGGCTTGGTCCGCGCTCCAAGGATGGAGATTCCACAGCCTCTCTGGGCAACCTGTGCTAGTGCTCAGTCGCTCGCACAGTAAAAATGTGTTTCCTGATTATTTTTTATTTTTTTAAAGTGTTTGCTATCGTAGCTCTTCCCTTTCCTGTCTGGGTCATGAAATGTTGAGGCAGTGGGGGCTTGGCCCTCACGCTGTGTGCAGCAGCTGTGTAAGGCCGTGGCCTGCTTTTGCAATCCCCTATGTGCTCTCAACAACCCTCTTGCACCTGTCTCTGCGGCTTGTTCTTCTGCTAGCTTAGCTAAAGCTAACCCAGATCATTCTCTCTGCAGAACATCTTCTAAAAGACTGTCACAAATGATATTACAAGGTACAGTGGTGGGTCAGTGCAGAGAGAGAGGCATCAGTGCATGGAGAAAGTGGTAGTTTTTTTTTAATAATTGCTTGTCTGGGCACGCTAAATTAACTCTCTTCTTGCTGCCACAAACTAATTTGATCTCCCAGGACCCATTTCCTCAGCTAATTGGAACTTGAGTTGCCACATATGTAAATTCTCCCTTGCAGCTGTATTTGTTTCGGGCCAGTTGAGCAAGTGGTTCGGGACGGGTTGTGGATGAGTGCCGTGCCTCTACTCTTTTAGGCCAGCCCTGGATTGATGCTCACAGCACCTGCCACAGCCCTTTCCTTTGCAGATGAGAGTGCCTGATGCTACGTCCCTGCAGATTTGAGCGTGGTGCTTGGGGGAAGGCTGCCCTACTTTTCTCTCTCGTTATTTGCGGAACTCCCCAAGCTGTTTTCTTGCAAGGAACGAGCGCTGGAGGTGGGGTTGGTGGTTTGAGGCAGTGGTGCTGGGTGCGTAGAGGAAGGAAAGGAGGGTTTCCCTTCAGAAATGTAGGGCGAGGACAGGAGAATGAATGTGCCTCGTGGAATTTCACCCTTGACTGATGTGTTACCACCTGTGTCTGCTTCAGTGATGAGTCTATAGCAAGAGAAACTCAAGCCTGCAGGTCACTGAATGATAATTTAGGTCCCAAACAAAAAACAAGCTTTTCCCCTCTGCCTGTGAAAGATTTAGACCTCATTTATCCCTGGATCGGTCTGATTAAATCAGCTTCTCTGGCAAATTGATTCTCCTGAACGTCCTTTTCTGAGCTGCCTATTTTAGAGTAAACATCTCCCTGTGGATTTTATAATGTAATACTTTGCTCAAAGCTGATGCTTTTTTTTTCACCAAGGATCTGGTGCAGATCCAAAACCGATGATGGATGTAACTGTCTGAAGCTAGGTGTTGCAGCTCTACATTTCCTTCTCTTTTAGAAAATTGAAGATTACTTCTCTTGGGAAGTAAGAAGCGTAGATCCTGATGGCACCAAGCTTAGGAACTGTTTCACATGGGTACGTGCTAAAGCACAGGCCTGAGGTTTGGGGTGCCTGGGCTGTGCTCCTGGTTCCCAGCCTACTCGGGGCTTCGCTTTCTGCCTCCGCCCTGTGGAACTCCCCACCTGGGGGTGAGGCTTGCATACTCCAATGAATTTTGAGGTCCTCCACGTTGTTGTCTGTAATTGAGCTTTCTTCCAGGTACCTTCCCAGGAACAAAGGCCTGGACTGGCCAGACAAGCCCTTTTGCATTTGCTATGCTGCAAATTAGCACTTAACTAGGGAGAGAATTTGTCAAGTGCTGACAAACCGATGTTGAAGAATGGCCAGAGTGTGGGGTTGGAAACTGTCCCTCACTTAACAGTGAAGCGCTTTGGATTCTCCAACCTTTTCTAATTTGCAGTCTACTTCTCTGACAATCAAGTCTTTCCTTGGCAACCCGCCACAGGGCAGCAGGTTGAAATGGCCTGCCCTAATAGGAGGCTTAGGTCTGCTACAGCCTTCGGCTCTGTTTGGAAAGCTCTTCTGCTACAGACAGCATAAAATGCTTTATAGATCCCTAGTTTCTCCCTGTGAAGGATGCACCAGGTCGTGTTTTCAGGAGGCCCTGTGAAGAGGGGCTGGCTGTTACCTCGTATCTGCACCAGGTACAGCATTCACACCAACTACACAGTGAGAGCCACGCAAGTACTTCAGCTTCAGCGTGTCACCAGGAAAGCTTTAATTGGATACTTGAAAGTTAAGAATAATGATGTTTTTTTACTGCATTTCCCAAGTTACATAGGGATGATCATTTCTGTGGCTCGGTGGCTGCTGGAAACACCGTTCTGTGCTGGAGCACTCTGCGTTGTCCGAATCACCACATGTAGGTATGCTGGATTTCCCTGTCTTCATTCGCATATTGCAAGCGAGAAATACTTCTCTTTACTTGCACTTAGGGTTGAAATGGCTTTTCAGAGGTTCCCAGCACTTGTAGTAGTTCTTATCTAGGCGATTGGAGGTCTGGAGGCCCCATTTGGTGACGGCCAGACTGAGGGACGACTCGAACATGAAGGCCTGTTAGGAAGAGTGAAGGTAGATTAGGGCAAGAGTGCGAGTTTACGTCCAGGCCGGGTGGCTCTGCTCTACCACAAACAGGAATTGCACACACGGTCCAGCCCTGCCAAGTTCTGCCTCCGATCAAGCCAGGAGGAGAAAGCTCTTCAGAGCTGGCATTGCAATGCTGGTATTAGCCAGGTCTCAGGAGTGACTTTGGATTCCCTGCATACCCAGGAAGGTGAGGTTGTTCCAAAAGCTCTAGTTCAAGGTCTGTTGATGATCATCATTAGATTTTAGTGGGTGGAGAAAGGAGGACAGTCAGGGGTTTCGTTTCTTTGTCCATAGGCTAAGACAAAAATTAAATTAATCAGCATGAAAATTCCCAGCTTCCTGCTCAGGCAACAATTTATGTGGGCAGATGATCAAAGCTGCCTGGCATCGCCTGTCTCCAGGGGAGCTCCTGGGAGCTGAATGGTGCTGATTGGTAAGGAAGGTGAATGCTGCAGCCCTTTGTTCCAAGGACTTTTCCAACTTGCCAGCAAGCAGCTGGGCTGTACTTTGAGAGTGGCACAGCCGCAGGATGCCGTGCTGTATTCGAAATCTTACTGGCTCCCTTGGCTCCTTACCATGGTCCCTTCTGCAACCCTCTCAGGCTCCAGCTTGGCTTTGCTCGCCTTCTCAAAACAGTCAGCATCTGGCCCATGAGGAGTCATCATGCTGTGCAAGCTGGCCCCTCCGGGCTGGAAGCCTTCCTCCTTTGCTTCGTAGTGGCCTTTGATGAGCCCCATGAACTCACTCATGCAGTTCCCTGCAGGAGACATAGAGAAGAGGTTGCAACGCAGCGTGATTGGAAACATCACAGCTGGGCTGTGAGCTCCTTGAAACCCATGAGCTAAGCTGGGCTGGGCAGTGGGTGGAGTGGAGGTTCCTAAGCAGGACATCGCAAGAGAGGACATCAGGGATCCTGCAGGCAATGCCTGTAAAGCTGTACAGGATGTATCCCACTCTTAATTATCTGGATTCTGAAACTGAGAGCTCCCTAATGAAGGTGCATTGATGTTGGTAGACCTGTGCTTTTCCTACCACCTCAAGCTGTGTAAGTAGTACACCTGCATACGGACTGCATGGTGTAACCTGATATTTACGGACTTGGGTTAGAGATCTTAAAGCACTGGAAATAAAGTTCAATATAATCATCCCTGTGTTGCGGGCACTGAGGCGCAAAGTGCCTGGCCGGCAGTCTGGTGAGAGAGCCTGGTTTGCTGTCCCAGGTTATGAACTTGAAATCATTTTGTTTGATATTCTTCTACCACCTCCA